CGGGGAGACAGAGGCTTTCACCGACGAATAAGTCTGGGGCAGGAAGAGAGGGTTTTTCTTTTTCTTTTTTTTTTTTAACATTTATTTATTTTTGAAAGAGAGACAGAGACAGAGCATAAATGGGGGCGGGGCAGAGAGAGAGGGAGACACAGAATCGGAAGCAGGCTCCAAGCTCTGAGCTGTCAGCACAGAGACCGACGCGGGGCTCGAACTCATGAACCGTGAGATCACGACCTGAGCCGAAGTCAGACGCTCAACCGACTGAGCCACCCAGGTGCTCCTAGATCTTGAAAATCAGTAAGAAATGCCCTGTGCCTGATTCCACTATGTGGTGTTTGTGGACATATATACACGATGCTGTGACTTCCTCTCCTTATGAATTTTGGTGCCTTCGGCCCCTCTCTTCTGGGTGTGTCGCAGCCAGGCAGGGCCGCCCCAAGTTCTGTGTATCCTGCCTTCCTGCCCCTGGAACAGCACGTGGCCCACAGCAGGTGCATCACAGACATTCGTGAATGAACGGATGAGGAACCAGTGATGGAAAGGACCCGACAGGGAGTTCTGCCGGGCTCACCAGGATGAACCAGCGAGGAGGGGAGTGTTCCTCCCGGGCTGGCAGTGAAAACACACGTGGGTCTTTATCAAGATCTCCATTCAGGGCGCCTGGGTGGCTCAGTCAGTTGAGCGTCTGACTTCGGCTCAGGTCGTGATCTTGTGGGTCGTGAGTTTGAGCCCCGCGTCGGGCTCTGTGCTGACGGCTCGGAGCCTGGAGCCTGCTTCCGATCCTGCGTCTCCCTCTCTCTCTGCCCTTCCCCTGCTCTGTCTCTCTCTCTCTCAAAAATAAATAAACATCAAACATTTTTTTTAAAAAGATCTTTATTTAAGGACAGCATTGTAACACGCGTGGGGAAAGATGCTCCCCTCCCCCGGCCCAGCCCTAAAACTCCCTTACCCCCTCCCAAAATATCACTGGGGCTTCGCTCCAAGGAAAGTGCTGAAGACGCACGCAAGTAGAAATTGTGTAGATTTAAAAACTCCACCAGCAAAATGAATGGCGGGGGCGGGGGCAGGGAGGGCGGGCATCGGGTTCAAGAGTCACCACATATCCGTGCAGCGGAAGCCTGTCCGACAACCAAATACCTGCTGACACGAAAGCCCGCGCACAGCATGCTGATTTTTAGTTCTGGGTTACAAAACGTAGAGAACGTGACCGCAAACACCCACACCTGCGTGCACACACACACACACACACACACGTGCACACATGCACACAGACACATCAGGGCCTGATGGACGCCCCCACCCAGCCGCCAGGTCGTTCTCCACGGTGCGGGCTCTTACAAGAAGGGCTGTCGGGCTCTGTCTGTGGACCGGAGTCATCGTGAGAACCAGCGACCACCCCCCACATCCGCATTCTCGACGGGGCGGGCGGCAGTCACTGCCCGCCACCCCCCTTCTCCTCCTCCTCCTCGATCCCCTGGCTCTGAGCACCTCGCGGCCCTGGGTCAGGGCTCGGGTGGGTGCTCAATGCGCCTTTAGAGCCGTATTTATGTTCACGTTCGTCCTTTCACTGGTGCGCGATAGGAAAGCCCGAGTCACATACGGGAAAGGAGGCGGTTCCGGCAGTGGGGGCCCTCACACACTCCCGTGGGGCCTCCGGCATAACGAGGTTCGGCCAACGTCCGCGTCACCCTGACTGTCCCCCGCAGGCCTGCACGGAGATAGACGCCATCCACGTGGAGAAAAGGCACATCGTGCAGCAGTGGGTCGCCTGCCTGGTGGGCATGAAGCACCGGGACGAGGCGCACAGGACCATCCGGGAGGCGCTCAGGTACGCGCACCCCTGGGAGGGCCGCTCGCCGCCCTGCAGGGGGCCGGGGCTGGGGGCTCGGGGCCACAGGTGGGTGTGCCCTTCACCTGCTGGCCTTGGACAGGGTCAGGAGGCAGGGTCAGACGTGGGATCCAGAGCAAAGCAATCTCATGGTGCTTTTCGTGTGTGACGGGGCCCCACGCTCAGCTTGGGCTGGCGTGGGCCCGCGGACCCTGGAGGGGGCTCTGTCATCACCCGGATTTGCCAGAAGAGGAGGGTGCGGTGGAAGGCAGCGCTGTGTGAGCCGGACTTGGGCACTGCCACGGTGGCCCCAGTGGGCCTCCCTCGGGCCTGGGGTCCGGCAAGCAGCACCCCATCACTGCCAAGGATAACCGGGGCCACAGAGCAACGACAGAGAACATCCACTAAAAACGCGTCCCCGGAGGGGCGCCTGGTGGCTCAGTCAGTCGGGTGTCTGAGCCTTGATCTCAGCTCAGGTCTTGATCTCAGGGGTCGTGAGTTCAGGTCCCGTGGGGGGCTCTGCGCTGGGTGTGGAGTGTGGAGCCTGCTTAAAGAAGGAAAAATGGGGCGCCTGGGTGGCTCAGTCAGTTAAGCGTCCAACTTCGGCTCGGGTCATGATCTCGCGGTCCGTGAGTTCGAGCCCCGTGTCGGGCTCTGTGCTGACAGCTTGGAGCCTGGAGCCTATTTCGGATTCTGTGTCTCCCTCTCTCTCTGCCCCTCCCCCACTCATGCTCTGTCTCTCTCTGTCTCAAAAATAAATAAACGTTAAAAAAAATTTTTTTTTAAAAAA